CCTCTCTCTCTCTTTCTCTCTCTCTCTCTCTCTTTCTCTGTCTGTCAGCCTCTCTCTCTCTCTCTCTCTCTCTCTCTCTCTCTCTCTCTCTCTCTCTCTCTCTCTCTCTCTCTCTCTCTCTCTCTCTCTCTCTCTCTCTCTCTCACTCTCTCTTTCTCTTTATCTCTCTCTGTCTGTCTGTTTATCTCTCTTCTCACCCTCCCTCCTTCCCTCCCACCCTCCTTTCCTTCCACCCACTCACCCTCCTTCCCTCCCTTCCTCCCTCCCTTTATCAATTTACTTCTAGTCATCTTTTTTATCCCCGTATCAAAGCAGCCCCCTCCCCCCCGCAACAACACCTAAATAAGAACGCTTCATCTGTCAAGAGTGAGTGACAGATGACACGGGGCCCTGGCTTGTCATTCACGAGGCAGTTTCCTTCTGTTTCATATTGAATGTGCAATGTGCAATGCTTGGTGTCGCTGGGTGGGTGAAAGGAAGGGTAGGGGGAAAGGGTGGGGGAGGGTGGGGCGAGTGAATTGGGTAGTTGGGGGGGGGGAGGGGTAGGAGAGCGTAATAAAGAAATAAAAAAATCAACATTTTTCGATATATATATATATGTATTTATATATATGCACATATCTGTTTATATATATGTATATATATATATATATATATATATATATATATATATATATATATATATATATGTGTGTGTAGTGTGTGTGTGTGTGTGTGTGTGTGTGTGTGTGTGTGTGTGTGTGTGTGTGTGTGTGTGTGTGTGTGTGTGCGTGTGTGTATACACGTATGTGTATGTGCTTATATGTGACAGAAACAACAGCAAGAAAATGTAGAGGAAGAAAGAGAGACAAAATGGCTTTGCAGACTGTAATAACAACTTTATCTTGGTCCCTGTTACTACCTCGTTAAGCCAGTCATCTTTAATTACCATCCATCTTGCTCTCGCCAAAATACAACCATCACATTTTGCTCAACCTTCGTCTTGCTTTCGGCTTGACTTGCTTTTTTCTTTTGCCATTTCTTGCGTTTGCTTGTCTCTGTTTTTCTCTCTTTGTCGTTTTTCTCTGTTTCCTTTTCTTGTCTGTCTATCTGTCTGTCTAGCTATCAATCTGTTTGTCAGTCTGTCTCTGTCTCTGCCTCTCTCTCATTTTCTCTCTCTTTTTCTTCTCTCTTTTTATTGCTCTGACTGTTTGTCTGTCTGCCTTTCTGAGAGAGAAAGAGAGAAAGAAATATATAAAGAAAGAAAGAAAGAAAGGGAGAAAGAAAGGGAGAAAGAAAGGGAGGAATAAAGAAAGAAAGGGAGAAAGAAAGGGAGGACTAAAGAAAGAAAGAAAGAAAAATAAAAAAAGAGAAAAAAGGAATGAGATTTCAAATTGCTAATTACGTATAACATTCTCGTTATTTTTGGCTCTCATCGTTTTCATCCCGTGAGTTATTGCTTTAGGCTCGTAGTGAAGCAACTCCGCCTACTGCCCCTTTCCCCTCTTTCTCGGTCTCTCTCTATCCCCTCCTTTCTCTCTGTCTCTGTCTTTCTTTCTGTTTCAGTCTGTATCCCTTTCTTTGTATCTGGTTATCTGTCTCTTCTCTTTTTTTCTCTGCCTTTCCCCTCTTCTCATTCTCTGTCTCTGTCTTTCCCCTCTTCTCTCTTTGCTTCTGTCTTTTCCCTCCTTTCTCTCTGTCTCTTTCCTCCCTTCTCTTTCTGTCTCTGTCTTTCCCCTCCTCTCTCTCTGTCTCTCTTTCTATTTTTGTCTGTCTCCCTTTCTCTGTATCTGTCTGTCTCTCTCCTCTTTTCTCTCTGTATTTGTCTGTCTGTTAAAACCCTCCTTTCTCTCTGTCTCTCTTTCTGTTTCTGTCTGCCTCCCATTCTCTGTATCTACCTGTCTGTTTATCCTCTCTTTTCTGTCTCTGTCTGTCTGTATCTCTCTCTGTGTCTCCGTTCCTTCACTCCTCTCTCTCTGTCTCTGTTTCTGCTTCTGCATGTCTCCCTTTCTGTGAATCTGTGTGTCTGTATCTCTCTCTCGTAATAAAGCCTGTGTAACTTTGCGTACGGTTCCTTCCCCCGCTTCCATTGTGTTTTTGTCTTTCTCTCCCTTTCTCTCTCTCTGTTTCTGTCTCTCTTTCTCTGTATCTGTCTGCTTGTCTTTCCACTCCTGTCTATCTGCCTCTGTCTCTCCTTTCTTTCTTCTTCTTCCCCGTCTCCTCTCTTTCTCCTTCATCCCTGTAACTCCTTCTCTCTCTCTCTCTCTCTCTCTCTCTCTCTCTCTCTCTCTCTCTCTCTCTCTCTCTCTCTCTCTCTCTCTCTCTCTCTCTCTCTCTCTCTCTCTCTCTCTCTCTCTCTCTCTCTCTCTCTCTCTCTCTCCCCTCTTTTTGGCTCTTGACGTCATCCTCTGGCGTTCATTGGCAACCTCACCTCGAGATGTGTCAGGTAAAGGAAGCTGCGAATAAAAAGGAAGAAAGGAAAGTGTCCCGGTTCTAAATGCGTTTAAATGTGATTCCAAAGGCGAAGGTGCTTTTGCGATGCGGCTGACTCACACTAGATGTCGCTACTGTGGATTTATGGAGTGAATTATGGTGTGAAACATACACGCACGCACATACGCACACACACACACACACACACACACACACACACACACACACACACACACACACACACACACACACACACACACACACATAC